TTTCGTACTCTTCTGTCAGCGGCAGCATTAGCAGCAACGGCAGCAGCCGTCTAGTATCCTTCATCAGTTCCCCCAGGTCTTCAGTTCTAGTAGGATTCCAGGAGTCACGTTAGAGAGTTTTTCGGTGCGATTCTGTAGCCTGTTCGTCCTTCCGTGCCTTGCTGGTTTGGTGCCGGGAGGTGCTTTTGGTACACTTCTGTCAGCAGCAGCAGCAGCAGCAGCAGCAAGAGCAGCGGCAGTGGCAGTAGCAGCGGCAGCAGCAAGTCCAGCAGCAGCCGCAGCAGCAGCAGCAGCGGCAACGGCAGCAGCCTTCTAGTATCCTTCATCAGTTCCCTCAGGCCTTCAGTTCTAGTAGGATTCCAGAAGTCACGTTAGAGAGTTTTTCGGTGCGATTCTGTAGCCTGTTCGTCCTTCCGTGCCTTGCTGTTTTGCTGTCGGCAGGTGCTTCTTTTGCTCTTCTGTCAGGATGTGTTCCATTTTGTTCGACGGCACGTGCGGCCATTCGGTTGCTTATGCTTGATTTGAATTCGTCCTGACTTTATGGTACTTTGGACAGAAGTTCCACAAGTAGGGCATGCATGCGAATAACGCTGCGTGGGCAATATGGGCCGGAGTAGCCCATCATGTACGCGAAATTGTTTCCCACAAATGCGTCGGTGGTCGATGTGTCCGGAAGCAATTGGAGTTGTAATTAAATCGTGGCAAAAAGGACACGTGTACACATAAAGCCGCTGCTGTGGTGCTGCTGCGGATGCTTGCAAGGCTTGATTCAGATTTTCTTTGGTTACCGTCTTTTCTTGTGCGAAGTGGGGCCTCGTCATCTCGTCTGCGTCTTTTCTTGCACCTGTCGCGGGCTGACCTGTGCGTCTTTGTCGCTGTTGGGCAATTGCTTCCCAAGTCTCGCGCAGCACTTGATCGTGGCGCAATTTTTTCCGCAGCGGTTCCAGGCGGGCTCGGCCGGAGCTGGCAGCACGTTTGCGGAGCTTGCCTTGCACGAGCGCGGCGTGGCACGCATCGCATGTCTGCGTGCCATCTCGTCCAGAAGGCCGTTTTGCAACGAAGGTAGAAAATTGTTGTCGTGACTTCCGTAAGTGACACGATGCACACCTCCATGTGCCCCGGGATTTCGATTGGCATTGAAGGCACGTTCTTCGCTGTGGGTCCTTTGTTTTCCATGCTCCGGCACCGAAATATTCTTTAGTTTTTTTGTTACAAACGACACATGTCTTGACGGCATCACAAGACAAGCAGACGCGATACATGCTCCACCGCGGGTTTTGGTGCTTTGACGCAAAGTGTGCCGCGGCGTGCCACAGGCCGCACTGGGTGCACCGATATGGTGTGCCGGCCTCGCGCTTCTGCGCGGTGCATTCTTTGCACACGCGGTAGGTTTCCCGTTTCCATTGTGCTTTGGTGAACGCATCTTTGCGCTTCATCTCCCCACATTCGTGGCACGGCCTTTCATCCAGGTATTTCTTGCGCAACGCGTCCCAGTCCACCGGCTCCTGCTTCCACACGTCCAGAAAAAGTTGCCGTCCGAGAGGGAGGCCTTGTTGAAAAGGTGCCAGCGGGAACGGACGGTAGATCAAGATCTTCTGTCGTGTACGGCTCCGCGTCATACCGACGTACGCTGCAAGTGGGTCCACGCCGCAGAGATCGGGGATGACGCCCGGCTCTGCGGTGCTCCCCTGTGCACCATGGAATGTGTCGGCAAAGTCCGGTGCCAGCGGGAATTGATACCGCGTTACCTTGAGCTTTGGCGTCGTGCGTCCAGCATCCAGAAACCATTCCTTGCTTTGCACGCTGACTGGGAAAACATTTTCTGCGTCCACCCCAGGGATCGTCCAACGCGTTCGTGTCTGGAAGCGAACGAAAACGAACTCAGGCAACGTGTTCCAAATGACGCTGCCGTCGGGCGTTACTGTCTCGGTAGGTGGTGCAGACCAACCACACACGACCCCGTGGCACCCGCGCAAAATCTTGAAGTCTCCGCGATGAAGATGCTCGCGTGCTTGCACAGGCATGCCCAGGCCCAGAGGGAGGACCCCATACCGATTGCCAGAATCGGCATCGCTGCGCTGCAACCACGTCAGCTTGTCTTGCGCAATGTCGGGTTTCTCGTGCAGGGCTTGCGACGAAATGCGATCCGTGGCGACAGCATAGTATAGACGTTGTTTACGCGTTCGAGCCCAGCGTTCCGCGCGTTGTTTGTTAGCATGACACTTCACCCCGTTCGTGTGGAAAAGGGCACGCGCCAGCTCAAAATCATGGAAGCGAGGGTCATTGGGGTCGATCGCAACCAACTGCTTGCTAGCGCGCTCAGTCCGGCAAGTCGCGCACTCGCGTGCTTGGATGGTAGTTGGCGCTGATCCATATTGGGAAAGACGTTGACAAGTAGCTTGTCCGCATGTCGCCTGTGCGGTAGTGGTCGACCAGCTACCGCACACCTTTGTTGGTTTGCCGTGCAGGAAGGCATGATTGTCTTCAGAGAGGCGTCCATGCCGCAACTCCGCTTGAAGCTCTTGCAGCCAAACATCCTGCGTGCGTTCGCAGCGCGTCAGTTCCGTGACACCTTGCACCCCGCCTTGGGTGTTACTTGCCCAAACAAGTTGCTGGCCTTGAAGGCTCAGAGGCAATTTTTTGGATGAAATTCCAGTGACGAGTTGCCATGGGATTTGACCTAGGAAAGTTCCACGAGGCGGGGGCAGCTGCCACAAATCGCCGGAAAAAATGACATTGAGTCCACCGAAAGGTGCAACGCGGTGAGCGCGGTTTGCTACGTATTTCGTTGCTGATAGGTCCATAATAATTTGGCGGCAGCGCGCTTCGAGTCGTGCCAACATTTCCGCGCTTACCATACTGATTTCATCGATGAGCAACCAACGCCATTTGACTGCTTCTTTCGCTAAATCCAATATGCGTTGTGCATCAATGCTGTGGTCATTTCCATGCCACGCCAACCCCAATGCTTTGTGGATCGTTTCGCCGTCTAAGGGCTCAGCATTCACGGCTTGGAACGCGACGACTTGGAATTCAACGCCTTGTCGCCAGCCCACGCAATCTTCGAACAATTCGCGACGTAACAAATTCAAAACGTAGGATTTGCCTGTGCCGGGTCCACCGTGCAAAGCCCATCGCAATGCCTCCGTGTTGGTTTCGGCCATTCCGCCCCGATCTTGCCCTGTCACGGCCTCTGCCTTTAGTCTCGCACACACCGTTTCTAAAAAGGAGACTTGCTCCGAATTACATTTCCGGCTGCTGGCAATGTCGACTAGAAACTGATTCACTTTTTGCACCGTATCCCGAGCAACCGCTTGCCAGGAGCCGGCAGTTGGCGCTCTCGTTTGAAGCGTCGGCGTTGTTTGGCGGCGTTTGCTTAACGTCTTTAAAGCTTTTCGGGTAGTAGCTGCTTCCTGTGTATCATATGGATTTCTGCCTGCAAGAGGAGGACCCACAGCAGGTGAGGCTTGCCAAGCTGCTTCTGCTTGTTGTGCTGCCGCTTGATAACTCGCAAGCAAAGGGTCGTCCATAGCAGCTGCGGCACCACGCTTTGGATTTGTAGCGCGCTTTCCGGTTTGTCTAAACGAAGTCTCCAAGGCTACAGGCAAGGTGGCGGGCGTCACTACCAAAGATTCATCGACCCCACTATCGTCGCTATTGCCTGCTGGCGCATCTGTAGGCCGCACACGGTAGACGGACAAAAAATTGCCGACATACCGCTTCGTTTCCTCGCAGGGGAGATGCATCAGCCACAAGCGCATGGCCGCGACCCAGGTTTGCTCTGGCAATCGCAAGCGGCCTGCGAAAGGGACATTGGCTGATGCTGCAGGTGCATTCAAAGTCCATGCGCGAAAATAGGTCATCGTTAGGCGGGCATTTGTTTCCGCTGCGTCAACTTTGTGCACGGGGACAGGCGAAGTTTCGAAATGGGGGCAGCAGGGTCGCATGCGACGCTGCAGATAACAGCGGTGCCGCAAGCTTTCTGTTGCGGTACTGGCTTCGAGCAGAATTCGATCGCTTGACGGCCGCACGATGAGTTGATAATGCAGGCTAGGTTTCAACTGTAGCTTTTTGTCTACATCCGTTTGGTCGTTGATTAACTTTACCCCTGCCTGCGTCAGCGCGACGTCCCAGCTAACTTTATATATATATGTGAATATTATATCTAATCATAGTGAGATGTATGATATATCATATGATATGTACAAAACTATACATACTGTATTGTATACAAATACGAGATATCCATAGATATCCCCGGTGGCCCCCAAACGATTTGCCATTTGGTTACCAAATAACTTGGAGTTATGGTGGATACATCTATAGTCAGATGGGATTATAAATCAACATATAACGGAAGGGGGTCCTGCGTACCTGTAAGCAAGCTATCAATCCAGCCGGTTTACCACGCCCGGTCCACCAAATCTTCTTCCAAAGTGACCACCCGGCCTTTTCCTCTTTCTATGTATAATAATAGGGCCCATATATATATATATACATATATATATATAATATCCATACTATTGTAGCAAGCGCCTCGAAAAGGCAAGGTGGGGGGTCAAAGAAACAAGGTGGAGGATCAAAAAATCGAGGTCCAATTTTTCCGGGGTCGGCGGCAGGGGCGGCAGCCCTTAATTATATATCTTTACATGAGTGGCGGACAAAATTACTTACTACCCGCAATGGACATGGCCAAAGTGGGTGGTCCCCTATCGGTTGTGAATGTGTTCGCACAATTTTGAGCATCCCATGTCCATGTGAAAAATGGGGGGGCATGGCTTGATTCCCTGACTCGTTTGCTTGTGCATGGTCTCATTCATACTCAGGTTTTCTTTGAAATTACCTGATGCTTTGAGAAATTGGAATGGGTGTGTCACATGCCGCAAACGTGTGGACTCCCCAAAATTCTCCAAATCTTCAAAGGTCGTACTTCCTTGCGTGGCAACTCCTATGCTAAGCCCTCAACACGTGCCGCCCTTTCACCCAGGCAGCACGGTTTTTTTTGGTGTCACCGCCGGTAAGCTGTTTGGACAGCAGCGTGGAGAGAGGGAGCCCCAACGATCTGTGGCGGACCCACCGCTAGAGAGAAATCCTCAGCGGCGCAGATGGCGCCGACGGCGCTCAGCTAATGTCTGGAAGCGTAAACATAGAAAAAAAAGGACATATACCCTCCAGTAAATTAACATAGACCCTGGCAGTCATCGGGGTTGGAAGACTAGTTTCCATTAAAAATTGGTGATTTTCAGGGTCAAACTGTTAATTTACTAGAGGGTAAGGACCTGAAATGTATGAAGGATGTAAGTCGAACCTATATGAATGGAATGCGCCCTTCCACGATTCAATTCGTGGCTCGAGTTTTATGGGAAAGTGGGTGCATGTATGAAAGCTGCTGGGAAAGCCGATGGAACATCCGAGTCCCAAATGGCCAGCCCACCCAGTCCTCCCGAAACAGTCGGTTGCTCTCACCTGTGGTGTCTTCGGCTGCTTCTCGAATCATCCTGCGGTGAGGAACAGAAATGGACTTGACATGGACTTTGCAATGCTTTGGTCTAAATCATTAAAAAATACTAATCGTGTTACCCCCAAATATAAGATATAGATATAATATATATATAAGACTATATAAGATTATATAAGATTAAGGGTTTCCTGCAAATGTTTCTTCAAGGAATCCGCATCCGAAATTTGGAATCTGACCGTCCAAACCTGGCAAAAAAAAACTGCGTGGCTATATGGCTACCCAGGTCTCACAGGTCTCCTTCTATGTTCAATCATCTACCCTCCAGCTATGTTTGCTATGGAAAATGGATCATTGTTTTTGATTTACCTATGTTTCACTAATGCATAGAATACAGATACCCTCTGGTAATGACTAACACTTCGCTATTTTTCACATGGCCCATTGAAAATCATAGTTGGTATTTACCATGGATTTACCATGATTTACCATCTGGTTATTTAACATGGCAAACTGTTAGTCATAACCAGATGGTAGCTATTTTTCACTCGTGATGTTCCAGTTCGCAAACACCAGAGGCTACTTCCATGGCACAACTGAGACCTGGGTAGGTAACCCAGTGGTGGTTTCCCCACCAGCGCCTGAGCATGATGCTATCCATGCCACCAGTGGGTCTCCTTGGTCAACCAGGGCTGGGCTAACCGGGTTATCCAAGTCACCACCATGAAATATATGAGGGGCCATTTTTGGGTATTTATCCAAATCACCAATATATATATATATATGTATATATGTGATTGTATATGCATAGAATTAGAAATGGCCATTGTTAAATGGCGGTATCAGCCATGGTATCCAATGCACCTTTGAATTTCTGGATTTCTGGCCGACCAAGTGGGACGGTACCACGGTCCACTGAAGTACCTAGCTTGGGTTGCTTCAACCCATGTTCAAGGCCGCCTTTTGGATACCCTCTGGTAATGACTAACATAGCTATGGAAAATCCACCCATTTTATAGCTGGGTAAATCCACTATTTCTAAATGGCCATTTTCAAGTTCGCAAACTGTAACAGTTTACCATGAGGGTAATAGCTATGTTTCCAGGATATCTCACATTTTTTTCGAAAAAAAACCATTGGTTTCACCGTTCGTCTGGGATTTTGTTTTTGGAACGCGACAGATGTGTTTTCACGTTCCAAGCTGATCATCTCAAAATTCCACACAAGGTGGTGCCCCAGTTCGTTAGCTAAGTTGGTGAACATAAAACTCCCATTAAACCTATGGTTTATGGCAGATATAACATGATATAACTATAGTTTTCATGGGGGTTATAAACCAACTAACATCACTGGGGGGCACCATCCTGCAGAACACCTGAGCTGATTCGTTCCAAGTTTCAGCAGATGTTTACCTTTTCAGATCTTTGCCCACTTTGCCCAGCCGGTTTTCCCATGTTCAGATCCCCGATGTCCAGCATGTTTGATGGTTCAGTCCCTACAGGATGGGGCCCCAAAGTTAGCTAATAGTTGGTTTATAACTGTAATAACAATATAGTGTATGATACTTACAGATACTTATAATCATATTTAGATGGGGTTATAAATCAACAAACATAACTGAGCAGCGTTCAAGCCATCCCTCTATCATTCTAAATAAAATCCTGGTTGGTTGAGAACAGGATTCCCCGTTCTTGGATTATGAAATAATCCCCAATATATGAAGGGTAGTATAATCCGAACTAATCATCAACCAACAGAGGTTTTGAACCCCAAATCAGAAAGGTCCCAGCAACGGCACCCAAACGGTGCGGCAGATCCTGTGTTCGGCAGCTGGAAGGACCTCGAGCTGAATTCGGAGCGAAGCCAAAACTGGAGGTCCACACTTTAGGGCTGGTTATTACTATGTATATATATATATATGTTTTACATGTATTTGCTGTGTATATACATATCTGGTTGGTGGTTTCAACCCCTCTGAAAAATATTAGTCAGTTGGGATGATTCTTCCCAATATCTGGAAAAATAAAAAAATGTTCCAAACCACCAACCAGAAATATATAAAGGGAATATATGTGAATATTTTTGCACATGATAGGGGATGGAACGAAGCTCTGCCAGTCCTGGTCTGCAAGTCCTTTGGGTACAAGGGACAGAACCTGTGGCTATCACCTGGTGTCTGCTGGTTCTCTTCACTCTCAAACATGTGGGTATGAATTGAAAAGGATGATATTAAAAAAGTTGACGACCTCGAAAAAGCATGGTGTCTGAAGCAAAAAAAACACACCACATCAATCCAAATCAATTGGCTGCCGGGCATTGGCAGGATCATCATCTACGAAGAGGGTCTCAGCGGCCAGTTTTTTTCGCGGTGGATTTTAATAGGGATCAAGCATTGATCCATAGGAAATCAACCATGGATAAACGTGAAATGATAGGATTTAAATGGATGTAACCATTGATCAATAGGAATTTAACCATGATGAATATGGATGATCATGAGATTTGTTTGGGGATTGGTATGGATTCAACCATATTAAACCATGAAGAATGTGGATTATGATAGGGATATGGGTGGTAATCCTCTGGTAATCAGAGATGCCTGGGGAAATCCGGGACATAAATGTGGGAGTTTCCAGACATCTTTGATTACCAGAAGGATCCAGAAGGTAATTGTTACCATGCCTTTCTTTGCAATGAATGTTGTATCCCCAAATGTTTAGGTTTTCTGGGCGTGGAGCTCCAATATCAGATGAAACACTTCATAAAAACGAAAGATTCCACATAGAAACATATGACATGTACACAAATTCTGTATTGGCAACGATCTTTTCAGTCAGAAGTAGTCAGAAGCTGCTGTAAATACAAAATGTGCTGGCGGGGGAATCTGCAACAGTAGGATCTCGTGCCCTTATTGATTTTATTGAATGATGGTATAGGGTACTGGTGCAGCCTGGCGTGGCAGCGCCGGGGTATCCCTCAACTTGACTAGCAGCTACCCTCAACAGCCCCGTACCATGTGAACTTGTAAACAAAACGTAAACTGCAAAGTTTGAGTGGGGAAATTCTAAGGTTGAAACGGTTGAAACCCTGTTTTTCCCATCAAATATATAAGAAAAAAAAAGTTGCCTGTTTCTTCGCTTCTGCCGATCCTGCTCGCACCTGCAAGGATGAGAAGCCATGCTGCTGTTGCAGCTCCTTTATGATGCGATCCTGCGATCGTCAATCGGCTGCTGAACGGAACGGCAGCCGAAACATGTTTTGCTGATGATCCCATGAAAATCCACCATTTATACACAAGATTTTCCATTGCTTTAGTAGTCGCAGTTTGCTTTGGAGATGACGCTCTGCTTCACATGGAAGTTGAGTGTTGTTGCGGGAACAAATGGTTCTACCCGACTTTCCAATCAATATATGTAGTATACATGTATATGTATATATATATACATATGTATATGTAGTTGATTATATAAATAATATTCAAGCTCCCAACATATGTGATAATATATTATGTAAAACCTTCAGATATCTCCATCTGCCCTTGGCAAAACCTCCAGTCCTTCCGACCCTGTTTCACCTCTGACAAAGGATGATCCCTTCCAATCACCTCCGCGCGGGGCAAGGATCAACCCATAAAACGCCAACAAAAGGAGCGAAATAAAGCAGTATACACATATACATTATATATATATGTATGTATATCTATATAATATATGTATACAATATACATATATACATGTATCATAATGATGAATGATACATGAATAGTGCACTGAAGATCACTGAAGCATTTGTTTTCGTTAAATGAAAAATTACATACAAGTCCTCTCCTACTTTCGTTGATTTCATGGATGGCGTCCCCACTCTGCTCAATTTCCGTTAGCTCTGTTGTGAAACATCTCTTTTGGTTTGCTGCTTCCCATTGCTTCCCCATTCTTCACAAAAGTCTGCCCATGTCACCTGATGTGCCAGGAAAACTACCCCAACAGCTGCCACTTGGATGTGCGTACAACTTAGTAAGTGGCAAAAAAATCGCCGTATGAAATAACCCAGTTATGTGCGGGATATATCATGATATATCACAGTGATATATCTGGCCCATTAACATTTATTCACCACTTCAGTGGGAGTTTTGTATGGATTTTTGTCAAATGTCCCCCACAAATATCATCATCATCCACCAGTCGTTTCACTCGTTCAATGGCCATTTCAGGAACCTAAATTGGAGGTACCTACCATGTATAAGGCCTATTTTTCAGGCCTATGTAAGGGAATATCCCAGCAAAATATGGCCAAACGTAACCTCCATTTTAGGATCCTGGAATGACCATTGACTCGTGTATGGTATATATATATATATATATGCTAACATGAATGGGTTTTTTGTTGATGGGATCCATGGCACACCATATATAGCAGCACCGTTAGGATCCTATCATCATCAGCCACCCATCGGTTCACTCGTTCTCCGATCCTCAAAGAAGAAACCCAGAAGATCCACTCGTTCCAAGGCCGCTTCCACCAAGGGGCCGAAGCCTGTGGTGATGATCACCAACCTCCTGGACCCAGAGGGGGATGATGTAGGGACTTCTACCATCCAAGCAGTTGTAGAAATGGAATATGAATGGAATATTAATGGATTATCAATGGAATATGAATGGAACATGAATGGAACATGAATGGAATATTAATGGAATATGAATTGAATATGGATGGAATATTAATGGATTATGAATGGAATATTTATGGAATATTAATGGAATAATCAACCAGTTATATTTACAATGGAATAACAATGGGACAATAATGGGATATTAATGGTGGTTTCCATATTCATGGGGATACCCAAAAAGTCGCTGCTTTGTGAAGGTCTTATTAAGATGGATGATTTAGGGGTACCCAAATCTTAGGAAACATCAACATGGGGATGGGTCAAAACGTCAAAACCACGGCTACCCCTTAAACGTTCACATCAAAATAGCTGGTAGTTATGGATTAAATGGATGTCCATCCCCCGGATAGCCATGGCAATTTTTGTAGTTATAGCCACATGGTGATTTCATCTGTTTATCGAGCTGTGAAAAAAATAGATATGTGTTTCAAAAATCACACTGAGAAATAACACAAATAAACTCACATGGAATCATCATGGAGTCATCAACAAAATATCAACACACCGCAAGTCTGGATCTCAGGTGATGATGGTTATGAATCTCTAAGATCTCCAATGGAGATCTCAGAGATGCCTGGAAAATCTGTGGATCGAAAACTTCACAGACTTCATCTCCTTTCGCATCACAAATACACTAGGAGATATGGGTCAAAATGGCGTCAAAATGGCAATAATTGGAGAGCTACCAAATGAACAAAAAATCCAACGCCCCGGGTTCAAGATGTTGGCTACCCACATCTATTGCAAATGTACTTTCAATATGTGCAAAAAAACATGGAAAAACTGGGTTGTCTGAAAATAGGGCACTCCCAAATCCGGTTGAGTATGTGTTCAATTGGAATTTGGGATGTACCCAATTTTCAGACCAAATATCACTACAGATTCCAATCCTCTCAGGATCCTCTTCAGGTCACCCTATGGCCCTATGGCAAGTGAAGTCTCCATGTGTGGTTTTCCATAACCACGGCAATTCATAGATCTGTGTTCCCATTGTCGAAAAAAAACGAGCGATTGGAGGTACCCTCTGGTAAACTGTTACAGTTTGCGGACTTGAAAATGGCCATAGAAATAGTGTAAATCGATGATTTTCCCATTAATACTTCCATTTATAAGGGATTTTCCATGGCTATGTTAAATAACCAGATGGTATGTAACAGTTTACCAGAGGGTAAATTGTTCACCATTGTCTTGGCGAAAAAAAAACATTCCAGACCAAAGATACCACCCATTTCTATATCCAATGATTCATGCGAATTGTTCATGGTTGGTTAATTACTTACTGGTGCTAAACGTAGGGAATGGATGGGAATGGGGGAATGGGATGATTATTGATAGTTAGCCAGTGGATCATTCTCTCATTTTTTGCTAAGCACCAGTAAGATTATGTTAATTAAAACCCAAGTATTCATACTTCAACCCCCATATTTTTCATGGTAAAAAAAAAAAGTATTCAGAAATTCAAACCTATCAAAGCCCATATGTTCATCGTTTTTATTCCACCATTGCCTTACTGGTGCTTACTAGGGAATTTTCGGGAATGATCCATAATCACTAATAATCATCCCAGCAACCCCCAGCAACCCATCCATTCCCTACATAAAACGCACCAGTAAGAATACCCTCTGGTAAACGTTTACATAACTACGGAAAATCACCATGCTTTTAATGGGAACATCAACTATTTAACTATGGCCATGGCTTCAAGTTCGCAAACTGTAACTGTTGACCAGGCCGGGTTTACCAGAGGGTATCCTATAGCACTATGGCACTATGGCACTTTAGTCTATCCATCATGGCTCATTAAAATGTCCCCATGGGTCACATCACCCAACCAAAATCATTAGGTATATGGTCAACGCCATGGCTATTATGGTTGGTGATGTCCAATATATCCAAAATGGGACAGTTACCAACCCCTGATATAAGTGGGAATATAAACTTACCCTCTGGTAATTTAACAGTTAGCCATGGAAAATCACCACTTTTAATAGGTAAACCATCTATAAATGGGCCATTTTCCATGGCTATGTTAAATAACCAGATGGTAAGTGGGAATATAAACTTACCCCTATCCATGTCTATCCATTTCGTTGGCGTTTCACCGGTCGTCCTTTGGAGGTTCCGATGCAGGGCCTGAAAGAAGCGCCGCAGATCCTCGATGCGCCCGCGGCCGCCGAAGATCTGCGCCGTGAAGTTCGGATCCTTGGGGCCGACGCTGGGAATGCACCGTAGACCAAGCGTGAAAGTTCGATTTTGCCATTGAAAAATTGGGAATTCTATGGATTATATATGGATTTATATGGATTTATATGGATTATATATGGATTTATATGGATTATATATTAGTTTCTATGGATTATATATGGATTTACATGGATTATACAATATGGATTTACATGGATTTATATGGATTTATATGGATTATATATATATATATATGGATTTATATGGATTATATATTAATTTCTATGGATTATATATGGATTTACATGGATTATACAATATGGATTTACATGATTTATATGGATTTATATGGATTATATATGGATTTATATGGATTATATATTAATTTCTATGGATTATATATGGATTTACATGGATTATACAATATGGATTTACATGGATTATATATTGGTTTATATGGATTATATGTGGATTTATGTGGATTATATATGAATTATATATGGACTATATATGGATTATATATTGACTTATATGGATTATATATTGACTTATATGGATTATATGTGGATTATATGTGGCTTTGACCATCGAAAAATTGGGAATTTGAAGCAGTTATAGGGTTATAGGGTTTTATAGGATTTGAAAAATGATTTACCCATTGAAAATAGAGATCTTACCATTAAAAAGTGAGGCCCCCCCAATGATGTTGGTTGGTTTAGAACCCCATTAACTAGTTTGATATATCTACCATAAACCATAGGATTCACCTATAATAAACCAACTTAGCTATATAGGGGGCCCCACCGTGTAGGGTGTTTTCTCATTTAACAATTCATTTAATAGGGATTTCATCATCATTTAGATGGATGATGATGAGATCTCTTTGGGGATGTACAGTATCATGTTTTAACCATATTTACCATGAACACTGGGGATTGTCATGGGGATATAGGTATCCTCCGGTGTCATCAAACGTGGCTGGGAAATCTCCGAACTGATGGAAGGTTCTAGCTGGGAAAATCAGCAATCTTTTTTTGAGGACTTTCCAGTAACCCAGGTTTGAATACCCTAGGGTAGTCACCCAAAAGATTGATTCGTTTCAAAAATCGTGAAAAATGCAACGGCCTGAGGTTTGAGAATTCTAGTCCATGATCTTGCACACTTGAGTCATTCGTGTGTGCGTGCGTGCTTTGAAAATGGAGTTTAATCACAAAAAAAATGTTACCCCACAATATGGATTTGATCCCACAATATGTGGATTTGATCCAT